AAGCATAACCAGAGCTTTTCTGAAGCTAATATTTACTCCACACAAAATGAGTCCAAAGTTCCTACACATTCACACTGCATGACTGCATGGTAACTGTAACTTTTTACGTCAGTAGGGACCAAGGCCACCCAAGCTTTGTCAGATATAATCTGAACCTGATATATTCTACTACTGGGAGTTTAAGTGAGTGTCTGAACAAGTCCTAAGTAGCACAGGGACTCATACTATTTAGCAACTACAGTAAGACACAGAATCTTTAATCTTACCATCATCTGCTGGAAATGACTCAGGTAGATACCTAAAAGAGGATGTGGCCTTAAATATTACATAGCAGCATACCATACAGCACTGGCATGTCCCAGACCAATGAGTTGGCTTAGAATACTGCTTTTTCACTTCCATTAGTCCAGCGCTACCCTAAGCTGTCAGTTCTCTGGCCAGTCCCTGGGGTACCCAGTGTGTCCTCTCTGGGTTGGCCGTATGTCTTCAGATAATGCTACAGTTGCTCTGGCATTTTCCCAATAAATATGGCCTTCCCATAGGAGCGATCTTTTCGACATAGGGCACAATATAGAGGATGCTGCCCTGTCTTTAAAGGAGACGGAGATATACAGAACAAAATAGAAATCAAACTATAAATAACCATCTTCCTGACAGGACAAAATAAAGTAACATGGAAAGATACGAGCTTTGGTCAAGGGCAAAAAGATCAGAGTTTAAGGGTTCAAATCTCAGTTCCTTTGACTTATAAAATGGAACTCGTATCGCCTACTTTACAATTGCTTGTGAAGAGTAAATAAGAGAAGACTAAATGTGACAGAGTATATGTTACATAAAATGTTCATGATGCTCAATCTTTAATTGTTTCCTGGCTGCCCAGCCCCGCCCCCTATGAGATTTAGAGCTCCAAGGCTGGCCAAGTTCAACAGAGCAGACACAGGACTTTCAGTTGGGCAGTGATTTGCCTCAGAAATCATTATCTTGAGGACAACGACCTCACATCATGTAGTTTCCTGTCTTTTATATTCCCAAAAATCTCTCATCTGCTGTCTGTCGTTAGATTTAGGACAACTTCCTTTGGCTTGGCTCGTCCTTTGGTACCCGTGCTTCGGTCGTTCCTGCCTGCCTGCCTCCTTAGTGGCCGAGTCACTGTTTCTGTCAGCCGGCAGTGTCTCTTTCTGCTGGGCCATCTCCTCCTAATTTTGCCTATTTCTAATTTCTATTTTACATTAATAAAACATTCTGAGGTACTTAATTCCTTTAATTACGTGCCTTGGTGCTACCACACCCAACCCAGATACCTAAAGGTGGTACATTTCTAGGCTCCACGGTCACCTTTCTGATAACCTTAGATCACCACCTACTGCAGGCAGCCCTAGAATAGCTTCAACTCCCCAGGAACCCTTAAATCAGAGACTGAACGATGAGATGCCAACTTAGTCAGCGGTTAGACTCAACAAAGCATTATGAACCCCCTGATTACTTGAGGCCCAACTGACAATCCTAAGCACAGGACTCACCTTAGGAAACTGGCAGGGCTTATCTTACAAGCATCACACCATTATATAAATGAGTGTCTATTTGTAAAGCATCATCCATAATCATAAAAGGTTATGGCCGGAGGTTCAGTCCACAAGAAGTTACTCTTTGGCTCGAGAATACTGTCCTAACACGTCCGATGGCTTTAGGTAGGATGAACACAGAATGATCAGGGAAGCCTAACCATAAAAAGTCAGGTCAGTAAAATCATTTCCCCTGATGACCGACAGGGTGACACCCAACACAACTGGACTGCCTCAACATCCAGGAAAACTAACTGGATAGGCAAGGCCAACTTTTGACTCTGGTTTCACGAGGACTGTATTAAAACTGAAGCAAGCTGGTCGCAAGAGATGGAAATAGAAGTCACACCCAGTGGAAGCTGGTCTCACTCAACGGCACCAGTGCCTCTGAGAACACTACACCTGATTCAGCACTAGTGTTGCCAGGAAAAAAAGGAAAAGAAAAAACACCTACTTTGCTTTTTAAGTTCTTCAATTTGTTCTTCCTTTAAATCTAACTGTTCTGTAAGTCTCGATGCCGAATCCAACGCAGCATTTGCTTCATCGAAACGCTCCTGAGGAAGAGAGAAGTTCGTTAAAAAAGCAGCCTGGAAGAACTACTTCACAAACTACACGGCTGGAGGACAGAGTCTATCAACCCTCTTGTATTCAGCTGATGAAGCTGTACCACTGTGACCTCAGGCAAGTTCACACAGTAAGTATCAAAGACAGAACTGGTACTTCACAGCACAATACTAGCTCCCTTAGTAAGTAAGTAAGTAAGTAAGTAAGATGCTACTAAAAGATAGTATGGTGACAAAAGGGGGAAAAAAAGCGACAAGAAGAGAATAAAAACTACAAAAAGCAGATATAAAAAAAGTCAAGAAATGTAACAAATGGTCTTTTTAGTTTTTGCAAGCCTGATGAGTATAAAATGACATGTCATTACTTTATTAATTTTTATTTCTCTACTAGTGAATTTCAGCATTTTTCCATGTTTATAGGAAATTCACAGGTTTTTTTTTTTAATTAAAAATTTTTTTAAATGTTTATTTGCTTTGAGAGACAGAGAGCGAGCAGTGGAGGGGAAGACAGAATCCCAAGCAGGCTCCACACCATCAGCACGGAACCTGATGCGGGGCTCGAACCCATGAACTGCGAGGTCATGACCTGAACCGAGGACCCAGGCTCCCCCAGGGGTGCTTTTCTGTGAAAATTTCTTTGCATACCTTGCCCATTTCTCCACTAAACTTTCTCTTGTTGTTTGTAAAAGCACCTTGTAGGGTAGACGTGAACCCTTGGTCACCAGTGCTACAAGGACTATTTGCCAGATCTGTCATTTGTCTATTGACTGCATGATACCTTTTGCCATGTACAAGTGTTTAAACTGTCTATAGTAAACATGTCCTACTTTGCTTTCACAGATTCTGGAGTTCTGGTCTTGCTTAGGCTCCTCCTTGCCCCTAGACTCTACATGTGGTCTTCCAGGTTTCCTTGCAAAGTTGTTTTAATATTTACACCTTCCAAACAGTGTTTCTCAATAGGTGTGCTTTTGACATTCCTGGCCCCCACCCACTAAATGCCAGAAGACCACAGCCAAAAACAGCCCCAGGTTTCCAGCACCACTCCCAGTTGAGAATCCAAGCTTTAATACAATTGGAATTTACTTTCGTATATGGTATGAGATAGGGATCCAATTTTATTTTCTTCCATACAGACAGCCAGCTGTGGCAACGTCGTGTATCAGTTGGATAACCTATCCTGTTTCCATGAAGTTGAAATTCGTTTAGGGCTGGTTTTAAATGCTCAAATGTATCCTAAGCTCTATTTCTGGATTCTCCTTCTGTTCTACTCATCTAGTCAATATTTGATATTTAGTAAGCAAGCCCCTCCTTACTGTTGTTGTTTCACACAATTTTCTTGGCTATCTAGAGTACTCGCCCGTGTAAATTTCAGGTCAACTTTTACCTTCTTGAATCAGAGGGACAGTGTTTTTGATGTGTCATCTTAGATAGACGACAGCCCCCAGTTATGCAATCAAACATCATCTAGATGTTGCTGTGAAGGTATTTTGCAAATGTAATCAAAGCCCCTAATCAACTGAATTTAAGGAAGGCATTTATCCTGAATAATCAGGGTGGACCTGACTGAGCTAGTTGAAGCAAGGCTGAGCCTTCCCTCAAAAGTAGAAAACATTCTTGCAACATCAGCCCTCCCCATGGAGTTCGGTCCTGCTTGTGATGTTCTTTCTTGACCATCTGTGGAGAATACCTTTGGCCTATGCCTGTGGGTTCCAGCCTGCATGTGATGGGATCTTCCCATTGTGACTACCAACTCCCATAATCACACTGCCAATTCTTTAGAATAAACCTCATAGGTGTGTACCTCTACATATCACATATATCGCTGTGGGGGTGTGTTACACACCCCACACCCCCTACTGGTTCTGCTTTTCAGGTTGAACCCTAACTGATACACAGAGGGACTGAGCTAAAGATGTTAAATAAAAAATTTAATATTTGAAATCCACAAAACTAAATTTAGTATAAAAGAAATTTAAATAAACCTTCAACCCCATAATTTTTCAACCCCATAGCATTTCTATTTAAGAAATTATTAAAGCTCAAAACTATGCTAAGACTTTCTCTAAAATTAACACTTAGACTTCACGTATATGTATTATCTACCATTTGTTTGGGTTTTATTTCACTAATTTCAGCTCTTATTTTTACTACTTCCTGCATAGTTTTTGTTCGTTTTCTAAGTATATGTTACATTTTAAACTTAAAAAAATAAACGAATAAAGCTGGTTTAAAAAAAAGATCTGAGAAAAAAAAAAAAAGATCTGGACTTCTGACAGTATCAGAGACGTGATTCTCTGGACCCACTGGAAACAACTCAAAGTGTTAGATAAAATATCTGTTTAAATGTATTAATGAGCTGACCAGGAAGTAACCATAAATGGCCAATAAACATATTAAAAGATGCTTGATTTTGGGACGCCAGGGTGGCTCAGTCAGTTGAGGGCCCAACTTCGGCTCAGGTTATGATCTCACAGCTTGTGAGTTCAAGCCCCGCGTCAGGAGGCTGCTTCAGATTCTGTGTCTCCCTCCCTCCCTCCCCCCGCTTCTCTCTCTCTCTGACCCTCCCCTGCTCACTCTCTTAAAAAAAAAAAAAAAAAAAATTTTAAGATGCTTCATTTCATTAGCAGTCAGACAAATAAAAATTAAAACCACAGGAGGACAGCCCTTCCCACCTAGTCCATTGGCAAAAACTAAAAATACTGAGAATGCCAACTGTTGCTAACGACACAAAACAAGAACTCTCCGGCACCACTGGTAGGAATACATTAGCACAACTGCTTTAGAAAATAACTTGCCATGACTGAATAAAGTTGAAACTGCCCACACATGTCTCAGGACTCAGCAGTTGCAATCAAGATACAGATAAGATAGCAGATAATGGCAATGTCCTTTATCAGTAAAATGGGTAAATAAATTATCCATTCATGCAATAAATGCAGCAGTGAAAACAATAAGCCATGCACCCACAGGAACACACAGTAAAATGGCTAAAACTCATGAATATGATAGAATACTAAGTGAAAAAAAGCAACTTGCAGATTTATTGAATTTACATACATTTCAAAATTGCATTTATACAGAGTTCAAAACTATGCAAAACCATACAGTGTACTATATGGAGATGCAAACATATGTGATAACCATACAGAAAAACAAGGGGTGTTAAGCATAACGTTTTGGACTAGTGGTTCTCTCTGAAGTAGTAACGCTGGGAGGAGATATGGAGGATGCATCAGGAACTTCCAAGGACATTTCTTTCCTTCTACCGGGTGGCAAGGGGTTATCTGCAGTATTGCTATTCTCATATTGTATATGTATTATCTAAATACTGTTCTGCAGCCACTCGGTAATTAATAAAAATTTCAAAACTTTATGTCTTCTTTTATTAGGAATTTAATAGACCTGAACAACATATTTACTACTAATAACAGGTAAACAAATCTTATTACTTTCCACCAGCTATCAACAAAGTCTACTTATAACTTAGAAAAGTTCACCTTAAATTCTTTTTTTTTTTTTTTTTAATTTTTTTTTTCAACGTTTTTTATTTATTTTTGGGACAGAGAGAGACAGAGCATGAACAGGGGAGGGGCAGAGAGAGAGGGAGACACAGAATCGGAAACAGGCTCCAGGCTCCGAGCCATCAGCCCAGAGCCTGACGCGGGGCTCGAACTCACGGACCGCGAGATCGTGACCTGGCTGAAGTCGGACGCTTAACCGACTGCGCCACCCAGGCGCCCCTTCACCTTAAATTCTTAAAGTAAATCACTTTCATGTCATCTCTCTTCATGGGGGTTCATTTTATCTATACTTTATATATGATTCTTGTACATATGAAATCTAATAAAGATACTTTATTATTATTTTTTTTAAGATACTTTATTATTGTTATTTTTTTATTTTAGAGAATGCACACATGCATGTGAGCAGGTGAGAGGGACAGAGGGAGAAAGAGAGAGAGAGAGAGAGAGAGAGAGAGAGAATCTTAAGCAGGCTCCATCCACACTCAAAGTAGAGCCCAATGTGGGCTCAATCCCAAGACCCTGGGATCGTGACCTGAGCTAAAATCAAGAGTCGGATGCTAAACTGACTGAGACACCCAGGCACCCAAAAAAAAGACATTTTAAAGGATTATGCTGCAAAAGAAAAAGATCTAAAGGATAATCTACATTATTTTAATCCATGTGAAATAAAGTGCTCAATGTATCTAGTTGAAAAAAGAAAATTATAGTTACAAGTGTAGGTTAATTTTTTTAGCGTCCCCTAAAACATTCATCTATGCTAAAAAAATTAAAATTTCCACCATCTCGGGGTGCCTGCATGGCTCAGTTGGTTAAACATCTGACTCATGACTTCGGCTCAGGTCATGATCTCATGGTTCGTGAATTCAAGTCCTGCATCAGGCTCTGCAATGACAGTGCATGGAGCTTGCTTGGGATTCTCTCTCCGCCCCACCCCTGCATGTTCACTCTCTCTCTCCCTCTCAAAAATAAATAAACGTAAATAAATAAATAAAAGTAAAAATAAATACAAATAAAAATTCCCATCATCTTACATGTGTTTTGTCTCCTCTAAACTCTAAGTCACACGGAGAAAACCCTGAATAGCCCATCCATCATTAGGCCAAAACATAGGGTAACAAGTAGCCACTCAAACAACATTTACTAAAATTAACTGTTTAGCAGATTATTTCTAAAACAAAAACTCTACAATTGTTCATCAATAATAATACATACAAGAGAAAATTATTTTGACCAACCTGTAATGACATCAGTTTTCCTTCTAAATGTTCTGCCTTTTTCTTCCATTCAGCTACAAGCTGTTTGTGCTTTTCTAGTTCGGCAGAATACATAGCTTTTTCCTCTAAGGAGAAAAAAAAGTTACATTAGTATTTGGCAATTATGTGATAAAATTAGCATTTTAAACCACTTGAAAAGTTTTTTTTAACATATATACTTTTATTTATCTTTGAGAGAGCGTGACAGAGAATTTGAAGTGGGCTCCATGCTGACGGCGAAGAAGCCAATGCGAGGCTTGAACTCATGAACCGTGACATCATGACCAGAGCTGAAGGCAAACGATTAACCGACTGAGCCACCCAGGTGCCCCCAAACCACTTGCAATTTTAACAGTTCAACAAAAACAGTTCAAATGTCTCAACAATAAATTTATACATGCCCTAGTTTTTACTCTGCCATAAATCCTTCTCCACTTTGTCCATCACGCAAACTCTTCCCTCTTTTCAGAACGCCACTCAAATATCTTCTCCTTGGCAAAGCCTTCTCTATGGCCATGTAACTCTGTACACATGTCCATTCTAGTTAGGTATAGCCGGCCTAGATACTTCTTATTTTAGAATTCAAGATTTCGGGGCGCCTGGGTGGCTCAAGTGGGTTAAGCAACTGACTTCAGCTCAGGTCGTGATCTCACAGTTCGTGGGTTCGAGCCCCGCATCGGGCTCTGTGCAGACAGCTCAGAGCCTGGAGCCTGCTTCGGATTCTGTGTCTCCCTCTCTCTCTGTTCTTCCCCTGCTCGTTCTCTGTCTCTCTCAAAAATAAATAAATGTTAAAAAAAATTTTTTTTTTAAATAAAAAAATAAAATTCAAGATTTCAACCATGAGTAAGCCTGAAGATCTACATATGTATGAATTTAAAGGTGTACTTAGGCACAAAATTATAACCCCTGTTACTTCATAAGCCTCATATCCCCTAATCACCTGCCCCTCACTAGCAGTTAATTCACTGCCAATCACTGCTGAATGTATGAATAAACAAACGGATGGGTACAATGAAGGACCTAAAGGAGGTACATTTGAGGATGGTGGGTAGATATGAAAAAGCATATTCGGTTATCAGCATAAAACTGCTCTCTGGTCATAGCTACTGTGTCTCCAGAAAAGTATTTTCCACCCGGACAAGAAACTGTAGTTACCTCAAAGTCGAGATGAATGACTGAGAACAAGCTAATCAATATTCAAAGGACAGTGATTCCCAATGATTAATTCTCTGAAGCATATTTAACCTCTGACCAGTATTTCAAAGCTTAAGCATTGTTTCTAGTGATCCTTTCTTCAGCACATGATCATCCTTTCTATATGACTTCATCCTTCCCCAACTCTCACCTTCACGGATCATATGATACCAAAACATGTTTTTAATAATTACCATATGGAGTTCATGTTCTCCAGGCCTAACCGTAAAAAGTCTACATTGACTTGTTGACGGCTACTTATTTTTTCCTCCTACAAGTGGGTAACCTTTCAAAGACTTCCCCATGCCTATTTTAAAATAGCACCAAAATAAGCCCAAATTCCCAAGAACTACAATAATTTATCTTCACTGAAAGCCTGACCGCACAACTCACCTTGCTGGAAATGCTCTAGCACCATCTGCAGGTTGGAGAGCGACAGAGCGTACTGCTTCACTTGCTCCCGAGAGACGGACAGCTGCAGGGCGGTTTCGTCCCTTTGCTTGGAGACCACATTCAGCTGCTCCTGCAAGGACTCTACCTGCAAACTGGCTTGATGGCTTCAAACAAAAAGAATGCAAGTCAAGTTGTTTCTGTTTACTTTAACCACATAAAACATCTTCCCTACTTCCAACCGAGCCACCCAAGTGCCTCCATTTTAACCATTTTTAAACGTGCAGTTCAGTGGCACTAAGTATATTCGCACTGTTAGGCAACCATCACCACCACCATCTCTAGAACTTCATTTCCCCAGGGGACACTCCACATCCGTTAAACAGTAACTCTCCACTCCCAGCAACGATCATTCCACTTTGTCTCTATGAATCTGACCCTCCTTACATCTTATTGCATTAAACTCATGTTAGATTTCAAAGAAACTCGAAGAGTCCCTCTGATCTTTGTTCTCCCTGTTTTGTTAATTCACTCATTCTTCCCATGAAAATGACTTTGAACAAATGGCAGTCATTTTAAAGATTAGAAGCTGAACTAAACAAGAAGCGTCAGTATAATAAAAGTTTACAAATAAGCTGGACTAAACAAGAAACACCAGCATAATAAGAATTTACAAATAGCCTGCAACTTTCATGTTTCCAGGCTAAAACTCTAAGATGTAATTTACCATAAAATTGTAAGTTGCAGGGGGCCTTGGAAGTTATTTTGTCCAGCTTCCAACCCAACAAGCAATGGATTCTGACACCTCCTTGGCTTTTGACACTTGCACTTATGGTGAACTCACAACTTCCCAAAGGCTATCCCATTGACAAAATTTTCTGATTACGAGTTAATTCCCTTTACTATCGTCTTTCTTTCTCCTTACGTTAAATAAAACAACTCCTACCCCTGCCACAAATAATCAATCGGAGATTCTGAAGAGATTTATGTAGCACCTACCCAGGCTTAGGTCATTGATGTACTTCCTTGACGTATAATGATTACAAAAAAAACAAAAACAAAAACAAAACACTGCAATAGCCTTTCCTGGGTTTTTAATATCCAGTTAATAAATTCTTATTCAAGAGCAGTCCCTTAGAGCCCACTAAGGGGCAGCTCACTTTGAAGAAACTTTACACAACAGCACCCTCTTGTGGGAAGAGTAGTAAATTAATAATTAGGAGACTGAACTCTGCCCTCAGATGTTCCCGGACTTTATGCAACGTTGCTGGTTAGCATATCACTCAACAGTGATTTTAAGGATGAGATGAGCCATGATGTCACTCAAAAAGTTAATAAATACCAGGTGTTACTATAGTTAGGTAAGGGCTCAAAATACTACAATCTGGTTTATAGATCTGAGTCACTCATTCAACAAGTCCTACTGAACATCTATTAAACTACATGTAAGAACATGTGCTACGGGAAGGTACAAAATAAAGGGCATCTTCCTTACTCCCAGTGACCTTACATTCCATTGGATGGGTGAAGACAGAAGATGGGTCAACAATGACCTGTACCCTAAAGTAAAATAGAAGCGTGCTACCAAAGACTCAAACGAAGCACTATGCCGATTGAAAAGAAAAACATCACACCAGGGTTTGGTTTTGTATTAGAGGAGTGGGATGCTAAATGAAGCATTTTCCATGAAGGAAATGCTATTTGAAGAGGTGGGATTAACAGAAGTGTTAGGAATCAGGCCCGCTCTTCAGGTGGAGGAACAGGAAACGAAAAAGCAGAAGAAACAGGAAAACAGTAGCCCTAACTAAAGGACTAAGACACTTTGGCTGCATGGAGATGACAGTGCGAAATTAGGCTAAGGTGGCAGAGAGCCCAGAGACAGCGTGCACGTGCACAAGCAGTAGAGGGAGAGAGAATCCTTTTTTTTTTTTTTTTTAAACATTCAGGAACTTTTTTTTTAATATTTATTTTTGAGAGAAAGAGAGAGAGAGAGAACGCATGTATGTGCGTGCGTGAGTACGGGAGAGGCAGAGAGAGACAGGGAGACAGAATCCGGAGCAGGTTCCAGGCTCTGAGCTGTCAGCACAGAACCCGACATGGGTCCCGAACTTACAAACCATGAGATCGTGACCTGAGCTGAAGTCAGATGCTTAACCGACTTAGCCACCCAGGAGCCCTGAGGGAGAGACAATCCTAAGCAGGCTCCATGCCCAGTGCAGAGCCCGATGGGGGGAACTTAATTTTACAACCTGTGAGGTCATGACCTGAGCCGAAATCAAGAGCCAGACACTTAACTGACTGAGCCACCCACATGCCCTCAAAACTATTTTAATTAGAGAAAAATAAGGGCCCGAAAATTCGAAGATTATCAATTTTATAGTCTGAGGATGTTTTCCCATTTCTGCCAATGTGAAACACATGCACAAATGTTCATTGTTTTAGTTCTCATCTGAAGTAAGTCTTTCTGAAACTAAAGGTACAATAGTATTCCC